GAGAGAGAGAGAGAGCGGACTGAGCGAGAGGGAGAGAGAGCGGACTGAGAGAGAGAGAGAGAGAGAGAGAGAGAGAGAGAGAGAGAGAGAGAGAGAGCACATGAGTGCTGATGAGAGAAAGGGTGGATAATCAGAAACAAACACACACACACACACACACACAGCTTATTATCCTGATAAAAGGGGTAAGTGAAGGCTGATGAACGAATCTGGTCAAAGCAGTGGATCAGACACATTCACTAAGCAGCTGCAGAATTATACAAATGGGGTATGCATGCTCTCATGGCTCATACCACGGGCCTTTCCATGTGTAACAACAGCAGGTGAGAAGGTGTAGAGAGAAGGTGGCTGATCAAGCAGTCTCCACCCATTGACAGTTCAAGGACTCTTTCTCGATTGGCTGGTCAAGCAGCCTTCGTCCCTTAGCAGTTCAAGGACTCTTCTCCGATTGGCTGGTCAAGCAGCCTCCGTCCCTTAGCAGTTCAAGGACATAGAAATTTCAGATAGGAGGATAGTATATGATAGATTCAAAAAAAATTATCTATAGTAGACATAACAAAGAATCTATGAATCCAATAAATTAAGGTATTCGTTGTTTATGGGCGGGCACTCATATAGTGCATTCTCTGTGTAAATTTCATTCAAAGCTGGCCGCTCTCTAATTGAGTCAAAGAGGGGCAGTATCCAAGTGTTTGCACTGCGAATTATTCCCAAGTGTATGCACTACGAATTATTATTAATTCTTACTCGCGCAATCTGCTCTTTTCGTCCGACGGGCTCCCGTGCATTTCACTTCGTTGAATTGTCCTTCACTCACTTGTGGCCCAGGGCTGAGCCCAGATATCAGCCTTACGGGACATGCATGCTCATTTGGTTCTGGCTTAGTAATAATTGTCTGTCGAAGTGTGTAAGGGAGCACTCAAATCAACAAAAGTGGGCGCACGGCAGACAGTCTGAACTCTATCTCCCTGCTGGTCGCTGAGGACCTCGGAAGTGGGCGCAGCGAGTGACAGGCGCTGTTGCCCATGGCTTCAGCGACGAACAGGTGACCCCTCCCCGGGTTTCCCCACACCGGTGTATTTCGCACCTCATACATGCGAACCGGTGACATTTGACATTTTGGACATGGACTTCGACATTATTTTGGGAACGTCTTGGCTTGCAAGTGCGGATCACACGGTCAACTTCCACCGGCGGACTCATACCGTTCGTGACGCTTTTGGCGTCGAAGTGCCGTGTACTATTCCTCTTCCGCACCTTCGATTCAGTGCTAAGTGGTGACGGCCAAGTCATTCCGGGCTACTTGTGCTTACGAGCAGCCCGACGAAATCGGCCTATGTTTCCTACGGACCGTCGCGGTAGCCGACTCTTCACCCACGGACTTGTCTTCGGACCCCCATGTGGTGCGGTTGCTTAACGAGTTTGCCGACATCTTCGAGTCACCTACCGGTGTGGTGCTAGATCGGCCGGTCTCTCACGAGATCATTCTTGAGGCCGGTGCCATGCCACCGAAAGGTTGCATTTATCGCATGAGCGAGGAGGAGCTTACGGTCCTCCGCGCAGAACTCGATGATTTGTTGGACAAGGGTTGGATCCGCCCTAGTAGCTCTCCATATGGAGCACCAGTTCTCTTCGTACGGAAGAAGAACAAAGATCTACGATTGTGCATCGACTACAGCAAGCTCAACGCGCAAACCGTTAAGAATGCGGGGCCTCTTCCTCGCATCGACGATCTTCTTGAGCGATTGGGCGGCGCAAAGTATTTTTCCAAACTGAATTTGAAGTTGGGATATCATCAAATCTCGATCCGACCGAACGGTCGTTACACATCCGCGTTCAAGACGCGGTATGGGCATTCTGAGTGGGTGGTCATTCCTTTTGGCCTCACCAACGCCCCGACGACCTTTCAAGCGACAATGACCAACGAGTTCCGTGCAATGTTGGACCGGTTCGTGCTGGTCTACTTAGATGATATTCTCGTCTATAGCCGGTCATTGGAGGATCATCTTGAGCACCTTCGACGAGTGTTGGAGACCCTCCGCCGCACCAAGTACAAGGCCAACCGCGACAAGTGCGAATTTGTCTGGCAAGAGTTGGAATACTTGGGCCATTTTGTCACACCGGAGGGCATCAGTCCGCTATCCGACAAGATTCAAGCCATCCAAGAGTGGCCGGAGCCACGAAACGTCACGGATGTCCGTTCGTTCCTTGGTCTCGCCGGCTACTACCAGCATTTTATCAAGGGCCACTCGAAGATCGCGACCCACTTGACCAAGCTCCAATGCGAGGATCGACCGTTTGACTTCGGAGAGGAGGCGCGAGGATCATTTTTGGCTCTCAAAGCCGCGCTATTATCTGCGGAGGTCTTGCGCATATTCGACCCGCTTTTGCCTGCACGCGTCACTACGGATGCGTCCGGCTATGGCATTGGTGCCGTCCTCGAGCAACACGATGGCGTGGACTGGCACCCGGTCGAATATTTCAGCAAGAAAGTGCCTGTCGTGCACTCCATTGACGATGCACGCAAGAAGGAGCTCCTCGCCTTCGTCCACGCACTCAAGCGGTGGCACCACTTCCTCCTTGGTCGAAGCCAATTCCGATGGGTAACGAACAACAATCTGTTGGTCTTTTACAAGACCCAAGACACCGTCAACAACACCATCGCTCGATGGATGGCTTTCATCGACCAGTTTGACTTCTTTCCCGATCACATTTCGGGGAAGTCAAACCGTTTTGCGGATGCTCTCTCACGGTGTCCGGATCATTGTACCACGGTCTATTCAACCTTTGAGATCGACAACGACCTGTGAGACAACTTCATCTACGGCTACCAAGCCGACCCCGAGTTTTGCGACAAGTACGCGAATTGCTCGTCTCCTAATCCGACACCTTCTCACTACCGGATCCAAGAGGAGTACTTGCTTGTCCACACATGGGGGAAGGATCTTCTTTGCGTACCGAGTGGCCCTCACTTGCGTACACGGCTTCTTGGCGAGTTCCACGATGCTCCCGCCACCGGACACTTTGGAGTCAATCGCACGATTGGCTGACTTCGCGAGCGATTTTGGTGGCCCGGCCTTCTCGGCGACGTCACACGCTATTGCGAGTCATGTGAGGTTTGCCGACGCTGCAAATCCCGCAACCATCGTCCATACGACGAGTTGCGACCATTACCGGTCCCCTTGCGGCGAAGGGAAGCGATTGCCATGGACATTACCGGCCCGTTCCCCAAGCACAAGACCGGTGTGGATGGGATTCTCGCGGTGGTTGACCGACTCACCAAGTTCGCCATGTTTTTGCCTTGGCGCTATCATGCCAAGGCACCGGAGTTGGCCGAGGTTCTTTACGCCGGTTGGATTCGAACCAAGGGTTACCCCAAGGAAATCGTCTGCGACCACGACACTCGGTTCATGTCCAATTTTTGGTTGGCGCTCATCTCTCAAGCCAAGTTCGGCTCGCCACCCCCAAACCGATGGCCAAACGGAGAGAGCGCATCAGACCGCACAAGTGCTCCTTCGCACTCTCATCCGCCCCGACCAGAAGGATTGGGTTGAGCGGCTGTCGGATGTCGAGTTGGCCTAAAACTCGTCCATTCACCCGGCTATCCGGATGTCGCCCTTCGAGTTTGAGCACGGCTCACCGGTCACTTCGCTGTTGGACACAATCATTCCACGAACGGCCGAGAGCGACGACCATCTGGTTTTCTTGCGTCGGATGCAAGAGCTACTTGTCAAGGCACGCGACCAGATGGCCAAGACGCAGCAACGCATGAGCCAACAGGCCAATCGCCAGCGTCTTCCTTGCCCATTCCACGTCGGCGATCTCGTTTGGGTTTCCACCGCGGAATTCAGCCTTGAACAAGATATCTCTCGCAAGCTCCTCCCAAAATGGATGGGGCCCTGGCCGATCGTGGCACCCACTTGGGATGCACCCGAGGGACCTTCCTTCGCTATTCAGGTGCCCGCCCACTTGCCCGTCTACCCAGTCTTTCATTGCTCCAAGTTGGTTCTTTACACGCCAGCGGAACATGACGATTTTCCCGGGTGACTTTCGCAAGACCCACCCTCTATGGACAGTTTTCAGGAGGTCGGCGACGTCATCTCCCAGTGACGCTTCGACGCTACGGCAACAGGCCAACCGAGTACTTGGTCCATTTTGCATACTGTACACACCGAGCTGACCGTTGGTTGACCCGTGTGGAACTTCAAGCAACAGCTTCAGACGTTCTCGCACGCTACGAACGCAAGATGCAAGGCAAGTCGGTCTCTTCGGCTCCACGCCGCACCCATGTCCAGGTTCCACCTTCAGATCGTCAGCTTCGCCCTCGCCCCGGCTTGACTTCATAAGGAGGGGGGGTTGTTACATGCTGCGCCTGCACACGAGGGCCATTTTCCAGGCCCTGCGTCCCTCAGGCTGAAAGCCTGAAAACCAGGGCCTACAGGCCCCGTGTCTGTTCAGCTCGAAAGCCTGAAAAACAGGGGCCTACAGACCCTGTGTCGTTTCAGACTAAAAATGGCAGTAGCCGTTTTAGCCTGAAACGAAGGGCCATTTTCGGTCTTTCATCAGACCGACCTGCCCTGAAACTCAGGCACCAAACCAGGGTTTTAGGAACAGGCTATTTTTGGCCTGTTCCCACGACAGCTGCAGCGCCAGACCCTGGCTTAGTTTGGCATTGGCAAGAGCAGCCTCCTGGACTGCCCACCCTGCAACTGCAGGCAGTTGGAGGCAGTCAGGAGGCAGGCCGAGGTAGTACATAGGGACTTCCCATGCACTTCACGCGCAGGCAGGAGGCGGTCAGTAGTCTTCAGGATTCGGCAGCAGCACTGTGGAGGAGCGCTGCAGGAGTAGTTTTAGCGTTAGCAGTAGTCTTCAGCGCTGGGCGTTAGTTGCGTTAGTTGTAGTCTTCAGCGCTGGGCGCCATAGCTAGAGTAGTACTAGAGAGAGAGAGATTGGGCGGAGGCCAGGGATACTTACCTGCAGTGCCGTTGCTCCAGCTTCGTCTTCGAGGTACCTGCAGCACAGCGCCATCTTTACGGGTTAGTACCTGACACAAGAGAGAGAGAGTTCTTCTCACCCTCTCGCTATCTGACTTCACTGCATCAGCAGACTACGAGAGAGA